TATGTTATGCAGAAAACTAAACTGAACAACTTTTGCCTCAGGGTCACATCGAAATTCCTCACCAAATATAAAATAAAAAATAAATTTTAAAACTTTTTTTTTTTTTTTTTTTTGGCCCGGCCGGGCAAGTGACCCCGGACCACTCTGGTAGCCTAGGTGGCGAACAGAAATAAGGGACTAATAGAGGACACGTCGGACATGATGATGAGAGGAGTAATATAGGGTGAATCTGGTGATTATAGGGTCAATTTCACGTCCAGGTGCAGATAATGCACATCAGGCAAATTCACGTCCAAGTGCAGATAATGCATGCACACCAATAACGCTGCGAGGATCAATACGGGGGCCACATTTCTCCGTTTGGTTTTCCGTTTTTGATTCCGTGTAATCTTGTTTGCTCCGGTTTCATCCTGTTCGATGCTTTCTTTTTTCTTTTCTTTTTTAAGCATGGCGCCTGCGCAAAAAAAGAAAAAAAAAATGCCAATTTAGGTAAGGTTTTTTGCAAAAGGACAAAACTGGTCATTCGCATGTCCAGGTGCAAATTTCTCCGTTTGGTTCCGTTTGATCCCGTGTAATCCCGTTTGGTCCCGTTTGATGCCTTTTTTTTTTGCATGGCCACTGCGCAAAAAAAAAAAAAAAAAAAAAAAAAAAGACTGTACGAAGTACTACGAACGATCTATCTATCTATCTATCTATCTAACTACTAAAGGACGGATAGGGCCCTGGACGTCGGTTCCCTTGCCCATTTAGGCAAGTTTTGCAAAAGGACAAAACTGGTCATTCGTATGTCCAGGTGCAGATAATCCACATCGTGGTTGAACGCGCCGGAGTCCACGTGTACATTTTCCTTTTCTTGTTTTTTTTACCCAAAAACAAAGCCCCCTCTATTCCACGTGTACATCTTCCACGGGAATTCTTTTTTTTCTTTTTTTTTTTCGCAAGAGCGCTCAAACGCTACCCCTCACGCTGCACACCTTGCCCACCTAATCACCCTAAAAACACTATTAGTGGTTTTTTTTTTTAACGCTACTAGTTAAAAAAGAAAAGAAAAAACACGACAGCTGGACACATTTTACAATTTTGCCAAAAATAATAATAATAAATTCAAAACACTTTTGTTTTTTGCAAGAGCGCTCAAACGCTACCCCTCACGCTGCACACCTTGCCCACCTAATCACCCTAAAAACACTATTAGTGGTTTTTTTTTTTAACGCTACTAGTTAAAAAAGAAAAGAAAAAACACGACAGCTGGACACATTTTACAATTTTGCCAAAAATAATAATAATAAATTCAAAACACTTTTGTTTTTTGCAAGAGCGCTCAAACGCTACCCCTCACGCTGCACACCTTGCCCACCTAATCACCCTAAAAACACTATTAGTGGTTTTTTTTTTTAACGCTACTAGTTAAAAAAGAAAAGAAAAAACACGACAGCTGGACACATTTTACAATTTTGCCAAAAATAATAATAATAAATTCAAAACACTTTTGTTTTTTGCAAGAGCGCTCAAACGCTACCCCTCACGCTGCACACCTTGCCCACCTAATCACCCTAAAAACACTATTAGTGGTTTTTTTTTTTAACGCTACTAGTTAAAAAAGAAAAGAAAAAACACGACAGCTGGACACATTTTACAATTTTGCCAAAAATAATAATAATAAATTCAAAACACTTTTGTTTTTTGCAAGAGCGCTCAAACGCTACCCCTCACGCTGCACACCTTGCCCACCTAATCACCCTAAAAACACTATTAGTGGTTTTTTTTTTTAACGCTACTAGTTAAAAAAGAAAAGAAAAAACACGACAGCTGGACACATTTTACAATTTTGCCAAAAATAATAATAATAAATTCAAAACACTTTTGTTTTTTGCAAGAGCGCTCAAACGCTACCCCTCACGCTGCACACCTTGCCCACCTAATCACCCTAAAAACACTATTAGTGGTTTTTTTTTTTAACGCTACTAGTTAAAAAAGAAAAGAAAAAACACGACAGCTGGACACATTTTACAATTTTGCCAAAAATAATAATAATAAATTCAAAACACTTTTGTTTTTTGCAAGAGCGCTCAAACGCTACCCCTCACGCTGCACACCTTGCCCACCTAATCACCCTAAAAACACTATTAGTGGTTTTTTTTTTTAACGCTACTAGTTAAAAAAGAAAAGAAAAAACACGACAGCTGGACACATTTTACAATTTTGCCAAAAATAATAATAATAAATTCAAAACACTTTTGTTTTTTGCAAGAGCGCTCAAACGCTACCCCTCACGCTGCACACCTTGCCCACCTAATCACCCTAAAAACACTATTAGTGGTTTTTTTTTTTAACGCTACTAGTTAAAAAAGAAAAGAAAAAACACGACAGCTGGACACATTTTACAATTTTGCCAAAAATAATAATAATAAATTCAAAACACTTTTGTTTTTTGCAAGAGCGCTCAAACGCTACCCCTCACGCTGCACACCTTGCCCACCTAATCACCCTAAAAACACTATTAGTGGTTTTTTTTTTTAACGCTACTAGTTAAAAAAGAAAAGAAAAAACACGACAGCTGGACACATTTTACAATTTTGCCAAAAATAATAATAATAAATTCAAAACACTTTTGTTTTTTGCAAGAGCGCTCAAACGCTACCCCTCACGCTGCACACCTTGCCCACCTAATCACCCTAAAAACACTATTAGTGGTTTTTTTTTTTAACGCTACTAGTTAAAAAAGAAAAGAAAAAACACGACAGCTGGACACATTTTACAATTTTGCCAAAAATAATAATAATAAATTCAAAACACTTTTGTTTTTTGCAAGAGCGCTCAAACGCTACCCCTCACGCTGCACACCTTGCCCACCTAATCACCCTAAAAACACTATTAGTGGTTTTTTTTTTTAACGCTACTAGTTAAAAAAGAAAAGAAAAAACACGACAGCTGGACACATTTTACAATTTTGCCAAAAATAATAATAATAAATTCAAAACACTTTTGTTTTTTGCAAGAGCGCTCAAACGCTACCCCTCACGCTGCACACCTTGCCCACCTAATCACCCTAAAAACACTATTAGTGGTTTTTTTTTTTAACGCTACTAGTTAAAAAAGAAAAGAAAAAACACGACAGCTGGACACATTTTACAATTTTGCCAAAAATAATAATAATAAATTCAAAACACTTTTGTTTTTTGCAAGAGCGCTCAAACGCTACCCCTCACGCTGCACACCTTGCCCACCTAATCACCCTAAAAACACTATTAGTGGTTTTTTTTTTTAACGCTACTAGTTAAAAAAGAAAAGAAAAAACACGACAGCTGGACACATTTTACAATTTTGCCAAAAATAATAATAATAAATTCAAAACACTTTTGTTTTTTGCAAGAGCGCTCAAACGCTACCCCTCACGCTGCACACCTTGCCCACCTAATCACCCTAAAAACACTATTAGTGGTTTTTTTTTTTAACGCTACTAGTTAAAAAAGAAAAGAAAAAACACGACAGCTGGACACATTTTACAATTTTGCCAAAAATAATAATAATAAATTCAAAACACTTTTGTTTTTTGCAAGAGCGCTCAAACGCTACCCCTCACGCTGCACACCTTGCCCACCTAATCACCCTAAAAACACTATTAGTGGTTTTTTTTTTTAACGCTACTAGTTAAAAAAGAAAAGAAAAAACACGACAGCTGGACACATTTTACAATTTTGCCAAAAATAATAATAATAAATTCAAAACACTTTTGTTTTTTGCAAGAGCGCTCAAACGCTACCCCTCACGCTGCACACCTTGCCCACCTAATCACCCTAAAAACACTATTAGTGGTTTTTTTTTTTAACGCTACTAGTTAAAAAAGAAAAGAAAAAACACGACAGCTGGACACATTTTACAATTTTGCCAAAAATAATAATAATAAATTCAAAACACTTTTGTTTTTTGCAAGAGCGCTCAAACGCTACCCCTCACGCTGCACACCTTGCCCACCTAATCACCCTAAAAACACTATTAGTGGTTTTTTTTTTTAACGCTACTAGTTAAAAAAGAAAAGAAAAAACACGACAGCTGGACACATTTTACAATTTTGCCAAAAATAATAATAATAAATTCAAAACACTTTTGTTTTTTGCAAGAGCGCTCAAACGCTACCCCTCACGCTGCACACCTTGCCCACCTAATCACCCTAAAAACACTATTAGTGGTTTTTTTTTTTAACGCTACTAGTTAAAAAAGAAAAGAAAAAACACGACAGCTGGACACATTTTACAATTTTGCCAAAAATAATAATAATAAATTCAAAACACTTTTGTTTTTTGCAAGAGCGCTCAAACGCTACCCCTCACGCTGCACACCTTGCCCACCTAATCACCCTAAAAACACTATTAGTGGTTTTTTTTTTTAACGCTACTAGTTAAAAAAGAAAAGAAAAAACACGACAGCTGGACACATTTTACAATTTTGCCAAAAATAATAATAATAAATTCAAAACACTTTTGTTTTTTGCAAGAGCGCTCAAACGCTACCCCTCACGCTGCACACCTTGCCCACCTAATCACCCTAAAAACACTATTAGTGGTTTTTTTTTTTAACGCTACTAGTTAAAAAAGAAAAGAAAAAACACGACAGCTGGACACATTTTACAATTTTGCCAAAAATAATAATAATAAATTCAAAACACTTTTGTTTTTTGCAAGAGCGCTCAAACGCTACCCCTCACGCTGCACACCTTGCCCACCTAATCACCCTAAAAACACTATTAGTGGTTTTTTTTTTTAACGCTACTAGTTAAAAAAGAAAAGAAAAAACACGACAGCTGGACACATTTTACA